CCATTCTAGCTGGCCTGTACCCGTTCAAGAACATACATGTATATAACCAATAGCAAACAAAATTTAGGCTGAAAAGCAAATGGTAAATTTGGAGCAGTTGTTGAAAAATAGTTAGGTTTTTCCAACGATGGTCGGCTGACCACCGTTGGAAATTTATACAAAAATACAAACTTTCTTGAAAATGACTTCACACCAGGTGCCATTATTTTACAGGATGCTTTAGACTGGCATTTACCAACATCCTAGTATAGTAGTTTTGTTTTGCGATGTTTGCAAATGTTGTATATTCCCTTTAATCATGGATGTTAATACAGCAGTTAACTGACCAACATTTTAGGCATTAATTTCCCAATAAATTTTCAAAAATGGAACTTACAACTTTTTCAAAAGTAGAATTAACATTTAAGAATTACTTTATCATGCATGTCTGTCAACATTGTCAGGAAAATGTACAAGGTTGATGTATTACACCTGTAGTGAAAAGTTCATTTACATGTACATGTAGTTAGAACATGAAATTGTGCATGTATCATGAACGACAGCAGAATTTTAACAGTAGAATAGGAATTTGTTTAAAATACTAAATTTTTATTAAATTTCATTATTTATTAGATTGACATAACTGATCAAATCTTAAAAGGGAAAAATAGAAAAAGTGTTAACATTTCAGGTATAAATTTAAGAAACAGCTCACAAACTTATACTAAAAACTGTTAAAAAAAAGAAGTTATGTTCCATTTTAAAAAAAATGGAACATAACTTCTTTTTTTTAACAGTTTTTAGTATTCATCTGCGTAGAACTTCAACATTTTAGAGATGAAATTTCCTTTTTAATAATTTTCCTTGGACCTTTTTGTTGAAGTCAGATTTGCTAATAGGGAAAATCATGCGCTAAATAATTCATTTCATTAAGTAAAATAAAATGACTTGAGGATCATAAGTGAAAAGTCTGTTGTTTAATTAGGGCAGTTACTTAGGGCTTTTCAACAAATTCAGTATTTGATTTAATTGCCTTTGAACGAATCTTCAAATATTTGAAATATTTACAGATTAAGTTTAACACACGGCTACAAATGCTTGCTCTGACAGTTAAAAATTGCAGTCGAAAAAGTGCGTGCAAAGTACAATATTAATAAACCTTGCATTCAGCAATATTATGGTCTGCTAAACACGTTAAAAAGATGGGAACAATGAACCACCATCCAAAGAAAAAAGTATGATGTGGACAAAAAGTGGTATCTGACAAAGCATTGCAGCTTCACAATTAAAAAAATGTATACATGCACATGCTTCTAAGGTTTTTTGTCTTGCTGAAAACTCAATCTGAAAAAAAAACTTTTCAAATATTTTATACTTGTGGGACAACCCTACTTTACTGCTTTGTGACTTATACCACATTTATAAAAAAACAAAGAAATTACATTTGCTTCAGTTTGAAATGGGGCCAGTAAAAGTTAAACTACTTGTATAGCAGACTTTAAACAAGTTTCGCACATAAAACGCATAATTTCATCAGTTGTTTTCGATTTTTTTTTTTACCCGCATTTTTCGAAAAATTGTTGGCGATACTCTCGTTTTTACCCCACAACTTTACTGCTTAATGTCAAGAGTGCAAAACGTTTACCTCTTGTTGCTGCAATATGTATGTAAATCAAAACCAAATCTGCAGGATAAAAAACGCCAAAAATAACTAGCCGCTTGCCGGTGAATTTCTTTCCCAAACTACATCTGCATGCACGGTTGTTGAGCGCCCTCTATGATACTTTCCCCACAATTTGGCGAGCAGTGCAGTAACTCAGTTGATATAAGGTTGGATTTTGCACCGCTAGGTTGCGGGTTCGAATTACGGTTTTGTACGCTTCATTTTTTTTTATTGCCTTTTTTTATCTGAGGCTTCAGAGGATTTTTTATTAAAGGGAAATAAAGTCCCAATTTTATAACGTTGGACGGTTGGAGACCATTTTTTCTTCTGATTTTATGTTTTCTTCTCATGTTTTTAGAAAAGCAAAGTCCAAAAAGCCATAGCGTATACCCGTATGCGGTTGTCATTTGGGAGAAAGAAAATCACAGTCCGCCGAACAGCTCGTTCAGTCAAGAATGGAATAAAAGCTCGCTGGTCCCATTTGCATAGTGTACATCATTTTGATAACGACCACGTAACACCAGGGAATTTCCAGAACGTGCGACGCCGGCAGACTCCAGCACAGCCGTTCATGTGTGAACACGTCTTTTGATCGATGTACATAATACACTAATGTGTTCGTAAACATAAGCACACAATGTTCACCACTCTTTTGCGTCTACAGTACAGGGCGTAAATGATTAATATTCATGTTGTCTCAGCTTTTCACTGGTGATTGTCGATGTCTGTTGTGAATGTTCAATTAACTGAGCTGTCTTTATCTCAATTATCTGTCATTATTTTAATCAGTAAATTTATGTTTTCCATGTTAAACAACCTTATTCTTTTATATAAGTGACTGCTTTTAGGGAGCGTTCCTGACAAGAAGGAATTAAACCGCCAGCTAGTTTGGATTCCAATATATCCCGCACATAGAACATCACGTGATTTAGCCGTGAAAAGGGGAAAATACAACCAACTTGCCAATCAAATGACAGTACGGCCCTTCAGTCAGCGCGTGCTCAGCTACAAGTACAAGGGAATTCCCCAAGATGAGAAATAACTTGCTCAAACCACGTGACGGCTCTAGATTACATGTGCGCCCAATGCTTGTCTGGTGTTTTGTTCACAACTGTTATGTTTTTAGGCATGAAATATTTCTATAGCAATGATTTCTCACCTCGTATGCAAGGGTCAAGGTCACAGTGGTTAGAACAAAAGAAATTTTGTCGGCGCGATAACTTGAGAAATACTTTACATGTGAACTTCACGGTTTGTGAAATTGTTCTTGGTAATCCGAAGCAGCCTATTGCATTGGGGGTCGAAAGGTCAAGGGTCAAGGTGACAGTGGCTAAAACAATAGAAATCTTGTATTTATTCTGAGATCATATGATTAATTCATATAAAACCTAAAGAAAACACTAATGCTGTCAATAGGACTTTTCACACTATGAACGTCTGACCCGTGTCGAAATCTAAAAATTTCAACATGGTTCAATTTTGCTATAGATGTTTTCACACTACTCATCGCAAACCCAGCGTTTTTGCCACACGTGTAATGTTTCGACCCGTGTATTGCGCAATCGTTTCACACTACACACACAGAAGTGAGCCCTAAACGTGTTTTCTCACTGTTTAGGCCTATAGCTCCATGGATGGTCAGCCCAACAACGGACCGGCACTTCATGTCACTGTCAGTCTTTTTTCTCATTTCCGTCGGGCTCTTTAACGTCAAAGGATGCAAAATTATGTGACTTGAACCTTTATTACCATCGAAAGTATATGCAAAGAATGCACTAAAAACCAAATGTGGTTGGCCGCTTCCACTTTCTCCTTACAAAAAAAGCAAGCGCGGTCGTCAGGTGTAGCGTGAATATGGAGTGTTATGAAATACGGACTCATTAAGGTATTTCGCATGCTCACGCATAGATAATTAGGAGAGGGACCGGTCACGTGAAAGGGTTAAACCAATAAAAGGGAAAAGAAGTCTGATTTTCACAGTCGAGTCTGATTTTCATATCACACCGGTGGTGGCGCGACAGGGCAGCAGGTCAGAGGCTATTTGTATGTTTGTTGCATGCTAAAAAGTAACATCTACAGCGTGATGCATGAGCACTGCATGTACGCACTCGTACTCCAGCTGGTCTGCGTCCGATGAATCGATGTGCAGTTGTACAGTGTACACGGGTCGAACGTAACCCAGAAGCGTTCACACTACGGCTTTCAACACGTGTGGGACTTCTCAACACAGATCGAGAATTCTCAACCCACCTTCCGAGTAGGGTTTGTTTCGACACGGGTCGAGCGCTCTACACGGGTCAGTGCCGTGTTCAAATGTTGTGGTGTGAAAGGTTAGTCCATTTTACACGTGTCGGACCCGTGTACAATTAACACAGAGATTTTTTATTGTGTGAAAAGGCCTACTGAACGTTCCATGTGACCAAAGTACATGTAAGTTGATCTTAAAAGAGTATAGTGTTATGTTACGGGAACAGTCACAGTTGCGAGGCATTTGGGTTTGTAAACGCACCTGACTTGTTGGTTTTATTAAGTTCCATTTCTGTATCTTTTACAAAATGTAGAGTAACTTTTCATTACAGTGCTGTGCGGGTTTTGGTTTATTAGGGTCCAGGCCTAACACTTGCAAAGGATGTGCTGTGCTGTGGGACGGTCTACTTGCAGGTGATCTGTTGCAAGAAAAATCATGTCCTCCGGCATTAGGACCTTGGTGATGTAGTCAATCCTCTAAAGAAAACGAGAAAGGATGGGTACATATTGACATTAGTATATTAAAAGCACTAGATTATTCACTAATATGCAAGCAAATGAATCATAGAATTGTATTAAATTACTAGGGCGCTGACTTGATGTACATAATTATACCTGTTGGGCGCATCCATGTTTGTGCACAAATCAACCTATTTTCACAGCTTTTGTACGGCTATTTGCATACCCGCATTTGTATTTTACACAGGTTGCCAGACTTTTCTTAATTGTTGATTGTGTTTGCAAATTTTTGTTCTTGTGAAATGCATTTAGAGTACACTTGCTCTGGCATAATGGACTCCATCTAATTTCATTATGTTCTAAAAATCTCCAATCAAGCACATGAATTAAAAATATCTGTATGTAGGACGGCTTAATTAAAGCATCTCCTCTGTAGCCTAATACAGCTCTATTTAAATAATCCTTTTTTTCCGGCTAAAAAGAGTTGGAGAAAAAAAGGGGGAACAATATTACCATATTATTTTTCCATTGATATAGAAAAATACAATATGTTTTGTCCTGAGCAATTTATTTTAGCATCCAGGAGAAGCTGGAAATATGGTAAGTTCATCCATATTAAATTGATTTTCATAATACTTACAGCTGTGTCTTTATTTCCAAATTCATCGAACAGTTCAGTGAAGACTACCTCGTAGTTGTCTTCGGACAGTTTCCCGAATCTAGGGGGCGGCATTCTTGCTGTAATTTTGATAAAGCATGTTCGCACGGTAAGTCAAAACTCTTTTTATTTTTTTATCTTGAGATTTGATATATGTGATGCGATCAAGCTAAATGAGTTGTTTGTCGACCCTGGTCAAAAAAAAAGTTTATTACAGATTTGAGATGAGCAATCTTAGCATTTCTGCTGTGAAAACCACATGCTGATGCCATTTTTAGGTCAAAAATTATGGAAGTCGGAACACGTACCAAGGGATGCGATAAAGTGATGTGATGAAGTGGCCCTATTTTGGCCTGTATCTCTAAATGAAAATTCCCGACAAACGACTCATTCAGCTTGATCGCATCACACATTGTATATAACAAAGAAAAGCATTTAACTAGAATTGTTTATTGTCTGCAGTGGACAGTACAACTGGCTTTTGTGTGCATTATTTTGTTTGAACATGAATGAATTTGAAACTCAAAAATTGTAGAATGAAAATTGAAAAGTTTTTCGAGAACACGTTGGCTAATATTAAGTCTAGGGTTTGGTTAGTTCAAAGTTGTTTTGAAGATTGTTGTTCTGACTGATGATCTTACTGAAATTCGCAATTTAAAAAAACAATAGTAATTGAAAAATTAATAACAGTTAAATACCAGTAAACAATAACGTCATCTTGACATCAATTTAATTTTATCTAATTTCACACGTGACTGTGTTCACAAAGTTACCTATTTTAACCCTGACCCAAAGACTGATGACTCCACCCGAAACGTGCATATTTTGGGCACAATTCAAAATACGACTTGGCAAGTTTGGAAATTGCGATCAAACACCTAATTGAAATTTTACAAACACCTGAAATCAGGCAATTAAGGATCAGTATCCCTGTAAATTAGGTAAATCAAATACATTGCATGTTGTTGTTTTTAAAATTTCCAACAGAAAAGGCTTATTTCTTACCTTGATGAAAAGGACCCCTTTTGTATACCTCGTGACTTGGGAACGTGATCTGGGGAAAAAAATAGGAATGATGGAATAGGAACTAAATGATGGTGTATCTGTATCATACGTGTCATGATCATTACTCCATGTGTATAACATGTACTTTTGCAGCTTTTTAGTTAAAACAAGCAAACTTTGGAGAACTATTATGCAAGGTGGGGGCAGGGGGCTGGATGCTAGATGGGATTGGGGGGGGGGGGGTACGTCAGTTATGAACGTATTAAACATTTCACCCCCAACAATATTGAAGCAGCTTGAAGTGGGGGGGGGGGTATATGCAGGTTTATGCTTTTTTTACTAGGGGCCATGTGCACTTTCATATTCCACTTTACGATTTGAAGAAGCCTGAATCTGTGATCAGGGAACGGGCCTGAATTAAACATTCATTCAATGCAACAGCAAACCAGTATTTGAGTGGAACAGATCAGGAGTACAGAAATGGGCTTTACCTTCTCATGAACAATGTCCCTGAAAAAAGACATGTGTTTGTGCAGAATGAAACGCACGCTTGACACACTTATTGTGCTGAGGCACCTGAAAGGGTAAAACATTTTGGGTTTTGTCAGGAATAATGTACTTGAATTTTGAGCTATCGGTTGAAGATATCCTTTTAAATATTGGTCTTTCTTGTAAACGATTCCACGATACAGAAGCTGTAATCTTCATTATTTGGGGGGGGGGGGGGCGCTAAATAACAGATAAGGCAAACACAAAATGATTTTGCTTCCAGTTGATTGCCTAGCACTAACCCTTATGTTTTTTATTTTTGCCAATTTTTTTGTGTACAATCATGTGGAGGCGTCTGCATGTAGTCAAGGGCGAAAAGTAGAAATTGATGGTTTGGGGTAATTTTTCCTCATTTTTCCAATAAAAACATTAGGGTAGGGGCTGTCAGAATAGGGTAGGTAGGGAAACCCGAAGCAAAACTATTGGGTTTTTTGGTCTAACCAGGAGAACTGTTCTTTCTTTTTTGGCCTACATGTATATAATTGTATGTTTTTTAACTTAAATATTATTTATTTGCATTTATTTATTTGCATTTATTATGAATTTGTATTTAGTACGAATTGCTGACAGCATGGAAATAAGCATCTTCTACCCAAAAAATCAGAAAAACTAGTAGGGTCAGATGAGGATAATTAAAATAAATTAACTTGCCTTCCGTTATTGGGGGTGGTGTTGTTCCTGCTGAATCCTGTAGTGAATCAAATCATAACAATTTTCAATGATTGAGTAGATTTGACATAATATCAGGCAGTCATGGTAAATGTAGAGCATTGTATCCCAAATGTGTACTTGGACATTTTTGCAAATAGGTTTTGAAAATAATGTTAATTTTTTTGCTATGTTGGTTTAAAAATCATATGAATGTAGGATCCTGTTTTGTAATTCGTGATAATCGGTAGGATACTTCCTTCAAAAGATTCCGTGAAGTGGATTACAACAATAGCCCTTAATTCATAACACCCTGGTTGTGTTGTGGGGGGGGGGTACAAATGAAAGCCTGAACTTTAACTTTTGTGGCTTAAAAATCACAGTGACTCTGCAATAAATTTATTACACCATGTGAATTTCGGAACAGTTTTAGTATTTTTCCGTTTATTTTGAGATTTTTGAAAATGGTGCTACTGACCCAACCCGACCTGACACGGTCAGGTTTGCGAATGATTTATCCCTATTGCTTTTTTAAAGGAGATATAACAAAATTTTCTTTTTGCTGTAATTCTAGATAATGGATGGATTTAGGGATTAGTATTTATAGAAAAAAATAGTGTCAATCTTGGGCCTAATTATTTGAAAACCAAGAAACTATCTGGCCCCAATCAGAGATATATTTGCAGTCTATATATCAGGGAACAGTAAAGTTGATGGCATATAATTAGAGAAGTAAAAACAAAATAGAAATGTCACCTGATTGCGTGGTTTGGGAGTGGCGGAGCTTGTCTGAAATTTGTTTGACGCTGTATATGGCGAGCTGCGGCATCTCCTTCTTTATGTATCTTGCCTGTGTATGCATGGTGGTACAAAAATGGAAGGCATGATTATAGGTAGTTTATCTGGCACCTTTAATGTAAGCAAAGTCTGTCAGGAGTCATGTGGCTCATCAATGTTTCATTAAGGACACGACATATCAGCGGCTTCAGATTCAAACCCCTGACCCTCTGATCGTGAGTCGATGAATCCACACCACCAGACCAAACTCTCCCTACAGCTGTTCACATTGTAGAATCTTTAGTCTCTGGAGAGAAGATTTAGATCTTTGTTTTTGAATTGGCAAATATTCTAGGCTACATAGTTTTATCTACTTACAGCGTGTGAGTACTTGCACCCTGGCGATATTCGCCGATACTCGTCGTAGAGATGTAGCATTTTATCTACAACGTCTACGGTGTACTTGCTTGCATTGGATGATTTATACTTTGGAGCACCGTAGAACTGGCTGGCCTGCACAAAGTAAAAGATTTGGATTAGAAAAGTTACAAAAGCACCCTTATATACATCCCCCCCATAAAAAAGTTAACTGCTGTGTTGCCATGAACAAAACTGACATATTGCTACAGAAAGCGGCAAAGGGAGAAGGTAATTGTTGCAATAGTAGCCATGTTGTATCTTTTTGTAAATGTAGCAGGGTAAAAAATTGCTCATATGAGCAACATTACCCTGCTACATGCATAGTGCCAATTATATAGGCCTTGTGGGATTGAACCGGATCGAATGCCAAGATTTGTTCAAACCTATTCCCACTTCTAAAATTATAACCTGATTAATTCCGTTTAGCTGAGGGACAAGGATTGCAAATCTCAACCCGATTAAAAGGATTGTATGAAAATTTAAGGATTTAGGACTGTTAGGGCTATATCCCTAACAGCAGCCCTGAATCATCCAATTTTCATACAATTTTGCATATCCCCTAGGGAATAAGGGTTAGCTATATTGCTTATAATACATATGTACCCAAAGAGTAGGTGTTAAAATTAGTTTGTAAGCAGCTTGAGAAAATATAAACATCTGAAGTATCAACTTTGATCGAGGCATTGTCAAGAGTGTTGGTGATGGTATATGTGACCACTAACATAACCGAACGCTAGTATATATGCACTGTGCGAAGGGTAAATAAATACGTAGAGCTTCGTTGATTAGTTATTTGTTCCCAATTGAAAGGGGTTCTTTTTTCTCCAAGTGATTTTGGTCTTTTCCAAATTACTAGGCTTGGAAATTTCTAGGTTGGAAATTGTGTTCCTGTGTTGTGAGTTATTTCCAGCTGTAGCAAAGTAATTCTGAAAGAGCCACACATAAGTACAGTGTGTGTATAAATAGTGTGCGAAAAGTGTTGAGCATTATTTGAAGCAGCCGAATACCATCTTTGATACTATCAATAAAGGCATTGACGAAGGTTACATATTGGCTTCCTATCCTTTAGTGGTCAAATGAACAACTTGCATACCTTCAGTTTATGCTGGTTTCGCAGATGGACATCGATTCTTTTCAGGCCACGCCCTGGGCAGCCAGGATAGGGGCAGATGTGAAGTGCCCGCTTCACTGTCTTCACACTCCTTGTTGGGTGTGTAATTGGTTGTCTGAAAAAAAGGTATCATAAGTCATTGTAGGAGCTGCATATTTCCCAGAGTATGAATAAGAGCATTGACATATATTTTAAAGCTTCTTTCTTTGCCTCATTGACATAATACATGTACATCACATGTAATACATGTACATCGCGTGTAATACCTCATGATCACGAATAGCTAATACATGTGCATCATGTGTAATTTATCTTGACTGAGCTGACTGGGGTTTAATCAAAATATCGGGAACAAAACCCCCGATGGTCTTATCATCAACCCTGTTCTCAGAATGGCCATGCAGTCTTAAGTTTCAGACTCATCCCTAACTTATAATCCACTATCTTCAAGCACATGTAGACATTACCTTTCCTTGGCTTTACCCAGTTCCATTAGTCGTTTTTTTCTGTTTTTCACATTATGTGTTCTCTGAAGGTGTTGAGACAGGTACACATATGCACCACTACACAGTGTACACTGTCTCCGAATTCTCTGTCCCTGAAATTAAAACAAGGTGAGAGTCGTCAGTGGCATATCAGGAGGAGGGGTGCGATCAACCTAAATGAGTCGTTTGTCGGGAATATTTATTAGGAGATTGAGACCAAAATAGGGCCACTTCATCACATCACTTCATCACATCACTTCATCACGTCTCTTGGTGTTCCGACTTCCATAATTGTTGAACTAAAGATGGTGTCGGCATGCGGTTTTCACAGCAGTAATGCTGAGATTGTGCTCTTTTCAAATCTGCAATAAAGACAAATTTGACCAGGGTCGACAAATGACTCATTTAGCTTGATCGCATCACATATGTAAAATTTTGTTAAAGTTCTTTATTATGATGACTATGGAGGGGAAAAAGTTTTTTTGATGTTTGTGTTTTCTTATCAATTCATGAGGAAAGAATGCAAAGAATTAATGAATTGAAACGAAATGTTAACTGGCTTATTTTTCTTCCATATAAGCACATTGGAGAAAAAGCTTCTTAAACAGGCCCTTTTTCGATGGATCAATGCTGCGTGTCCCGTCCATGGAGCTCTCAAGAGGTAAAACTTGTGCACCCTCTTTTGTTGGCAACGGAGCCCATAGCTGCCACATTTTAATGGCCAACAACTTATAAACAAATAATAAAATTTAATTAACTAAATTAACTTACTGGCTTGTATTTTTGCTTTCTTTGATTTTCAGGTTTCCGGACAGCGTCTTTCACCTTATTGTTATTTTAGGGCCTGTAGGGTAACTGTTGTAGGTTTTCGCGTGTTTTTTGGTATGTTTGCACGTTATACGTGCATTATGTAGGTTTTTTTGTTTTTTTTGTTTTTTGGTGCAGTTTTACTGTACATACAACAACAACCAAATGTATACAATTACACTGCCTATTAGATCAACGTGTTAGCGGGGGGGGGGGGGGGGGGGGTCTTCACTTTCTGACTCCCGATTACCCCGATAGGACGTGTTTTTATTAGCTCTCGACATGGCACAAGCGATGATTAATGCTAGGCTGTCTACCGTCAAACAGAGCGCGGAGCTCCACGGCACCGGCAAGCACCCGCCCGCTAAGAAGGCCCGGCCGTCCTTGGAGTTTTCCACCGTGCATAAGACCGGTGTGATTGTCCAGAGGATTAATCCTCATGCTGATGTGCCTGTGGCTGCCATATTGGAGTTGTGCAAGGCCGAGTTAGGCGACTTCCAATATGCCATCTACGAGCACGACCCTGCTAAGGGGGGGGGGGGGTTAGCCTGCAAGGTGAGAGGGCTTCATCTTAATATGGTGGTGATGAGTTCCAGTGCCTGGCGTGATTCATGGCGCGTCCGCCAACTGTTGAAGCGAGTCAAGGCCGCCTGTTGCGAGATGCACGGGGTCGCAATCCGCGACCCTAAGGCCATGATTGCGTATCTGTCCATCCCCCCTCGTACTGTCATCTATGAACACTTACCTGAGAAGCGGAGCGAGATCGATCCCATCTTCAGGATCACCCCGACCGAGGATGAAATCGACCAGATGAGGACCGTCAAAATGATGACGCGTGGCACTGCAGACGAACCAAAGGGCAAGTATCCGGATGGAGGGGAGTACGCTACCAAGACGGACCTCCAAGTCCTCATGGATCTGATGAGCAAGTGGTCTCCACGTTCTTCTAATGACTTTGTCACTAGGGTGATGAGATATGAGTCTCCTCAGGTGAAAGCCCGGGTCGAGAAACTCTATTTCCAAGCGAACTGGAGAGACAGGTTCACCAAGGCGCGTCTTCTGACGCAAATGGGCTGCTTGGAGAACGACATGGAGATGTTGGAGAGTACCTGGGAGCAGAACAACCCCCCCCCCCCCAAGTATCACACCGTGGAGGAATCTGTCTACTTGGTAGCGCGCTGGTGCACCCATCAGGGGATTCTTCTGAACTTCCTCGTCAACGACGTGACTGCGGTGATGGACAGGTAAGTAAACCGTTATACCCTAGGACTCAAGACTTCCCGATCCCTTTTTTCTAAACACTCATCTTATACTAAATTTCTTTTCTTTACAGGACTACCCCCAAGAAAAACTGTCTTGCCCTCATTGGAGAATCCAATGCGGGTAAGACGTGGCTCGTCAATTCACTGGTGGATCTTGCGGTCCACGTCGGTGAAATCTCGCAAGGAAGTGGCGGTTACGTGTTCATGTGGCAGGAATGCGTTGATAAGCGCATGATCGTACTTAATGAGCCCTACCTGGATGCATGCGTCATTGGTAAGTGTCCACTTTTACCATCTCGTAACACCAACGCGGTTATCTATTGCATTGTGTATTGGCCGCGTTGGTTTACAACTCGTCCCCAATTGACTTGTGTACAAAACTCGTACCCTATTGACCAACTCGTCCCCCATTGACTTGTGTACAAAACTCGTACTCCATTGAAACGTGTGAGTTTGTACTTATGTTTTTTTTCAGAGAAGGCCAAGATCGTTCTCGAGGGCCAAGAGACGATGGTGCCCGTAAAGCACCAGGCAGAAGCGTTTCTTGCACGTACGCCAGTCTTCGCTACCGCCAATCACCCCCTGTGGCGTTTCGCCGTATCGGAGCAGGAGGCCGTACGCAACAGGTGCTTTGTGTACAAGAACTTGCGAGCGTTCCCCCTCCTCGCCGACTACAGCCGCCGTTGCCACCCCCTGGTGTGGCGTGCCCTGAGAGAGCCTATAGACAATGAAGCAGCCAGCGAGCGGTCATCTTCCCGCGGGTCGCCGACAACTAAAGAGGTATGTTTCAGCGTCTCTCCTCTCGAGTTAGCCAGGCTGCAGAGCCCCCCAAGCGTTCTAAGCCAATCGCCATCAAGCGAGTTGACCGACGCCGTACCGAGAACCCCTACGTCCCGCAAACCTGGCCGAGTACCCCCACTAATCTTGCCGCAGGCGCGGTTCAACATGACGGAGCAGAGGTGGAGCAGCGACGAGTCCGAGCCGGCTTTGTCTCCGACCCCGCAAGACATTAAACCTGTCCTTGTACCCACCACTCTGCCTTGTACTTACACCCCTGGCAGCGTGATCGACTTGTGTTCATCTAGCTCTTCATCTGACATCCCCTGCGGTCAACGATGCGCCTTTCCTCGTGACTTGGCCACCTACAACAACTCCTGTAATGAAGCCATTGAAGACCGCACCCTTGACCGTCCCGTGTCCGACTTCTCTGCCCCGTCTCCCGACTCATCTGATCTGTTCTCCGATGGTTCGTCTGGTGGTGACGGTAGCCGAGTGACCACTCTCTCTGAGCGAGCTGACAAGTTGGAGTTGGACCGGTTGTGTGCCGCCAGCGAAGCCGCCGACTTAGCCTCCAGCCTGACCCCCGACAATCTTCCGTCCACCTCTGCCATGGCTACCCTTCGAGACAACGAGCGCCGTAAGCGTGGGAATGATTCCCGCACGTATGATCTCCTCACCGAAGCGTGCAGAGTGTTGAACAACACCTCACCCGACAGCCTCCACACCGAGTTCCGCGACCACATTGAACTGTAAATTAGTACTGCGGCCCACAGTTAACCTGAGGTTTAAAGTTGTTTTTTAAAGGGAAGTAAAGTAAAACAAACCTGTTTTAGTTAGGGCAGTGACCAATTATAATTGTATAACTGTAAATAAATGAATTGTAAATAAATGAATTGTAAATAAATAAAAGTTGTGTTGTGTTGTGTTAAAAAAAAAAAAAAAAAAAAATCTCTTATGCAAAAGCCAATGAAGAGTCAATGACACTGAGGCTTTACTGCATTTGAGACCATGTTGTCAGAGTGGAAGGACGTGCTGGTCCTTTGCTCTCTTGTGCAATTGAATTACATTCTGTATGAAGCTTGTCGATTTGTATATATTGTGTTTGCGGTCAGCTATAAACTTCGTTCAACTTATCCTGACCGACCTCCGGCGTATGAAAGCTAAATGTCTACCGAGGCGTGGCCGTGCCAAGTGGGTTGGGAGTGCTGGTGAGCGTTCTTCTGGACCATCGTAATTTGCTGTGCTGTGACTATATTAATCATGAGTATTCCGTGCTACGTTCAGTATTCCCGTAGCCGTCGGTGCGACCTGACCTACTGTCGGCTCCTGACGACTGTGTGTGCTATTGGTGATGCCGCCTTCGAGACCGCGGGGCAGACCCGAGAATTATCCGAGCAACTCCGACGACTCGCCTCTCGACCAGCTAGCCCGGTTGAACTTCGAACCAAAAGACTTGAACGAGCAGGATCAAAGCAACCTCGCCGAAGCTCTTCTTGATTCCCCCTGCCCCATTAAGATTGACTATAAGAAAGACTGCAGTGATCAACAACTCTTCCATCGCCTTGAATGGGTACGTCTGTTAACGCGAGAGTGGCAAGATCAGCATCGTGATGCCGAGTGAACGGCGGGGTTTCCTTGGGATAATCCCTACGAACGTCTGGGAGAGGATCCGTGGGGTCTTGCACATGTTGGTCCCGTGTTTTGCGGCACCGGAGAATGTTCCAAACCGTTCGTACCCTTTGCCGCCCACTTGTGGGGATATAACTACTGCGGACCGGGTACCCACGATTATAACCGCAAACCCATCAACCATCTCGACCGACTCTGCCAGATCCACGACCACATGTATGCCGATAACGATATCTCTACCTGTACGTCACCCCCGGAATCTCCGCCTTTGCTATCAAAACTATCTTTCAGTCAAAGATCTGGTTCGATAATGCTTTCCCTGCAGCTTTGAGTGACTACGTGTTCCGCCCCAATGCCGGAGGAAACTACCATTTTGAATCTACCCGTCGTGTGCTTGCGTCTGCTAGCCAGAATGTTACGAAAGATGCCTGGAATATTCCCATTTCTGATTTGTATCAAGAACCGGGCACCGCCAATCCCCGTGTGTTAAATGGACAGGCGATGAACTTGATGAATGTGTTGCTGAAAGAACCCCGTAGTAATCCGTTAGCGGTTGCCTTGGATACCCATTGGTTTGTTAGGGATGTTGGCAAGTCTAGGGAACGTACTGTGGATATCTACGGTACCGAAGTGGTCGACCCTACCCAGCAAGATCAGTGGCACGTGTCTATCAGTGTCAATACCAACCCCCAGGCGAAGTATCTACCTAGCAACGAAGCGTATGATCAACTTCCTCCTTCGTACTGGTTTTACTCTACTTATGGGCGTAAACTGTTCCAGTTGCATTTTGACTATCGGATCCGTGGAGGTGCTCAGCATATTGGTGATGATCGTTTGGATACTGAAGGCCAGGGTCTGGCGTTTGTGTGGATGGAACCAGACGAAGCCATGCGTCGTCTCGGCCGTCCTACTGTCACTGACCATGCTGACCAGATTGATTTTCCCAGTGCGCTTCCTTTCAAAGGATTGGCCGGTGCTCGTATGAGTGAAGCGTTTGCCGGCTTCATCACGGATCCCCATTTTGACGATGTGGATCAAGGCAGTGTGGCTCGACCGTCCGGAAAGCGTGACTGGTACAAGGATTTGACACCCGGGGATCCGGAGACAGAAAAGGTGGAGTTGACCAGTCTGTACTTACCTACCCTAGCTGATCGTAACATTCCCTACCGTTATTTTTTGTGTGGTATGCTGAATGACTACCAGTGCAGTCTCATCCGTCCCTACTACGAATCCACGTATAACTTGTGGCAACCGGGAGCCGAAGTCAAAGCGGTCTACCACTACCGGATACACCTATGCTTATTGGCACGACGATCAGGGGTTGTTGAATTGGCGTGCTAAGCCCGTACCCAGCAGTTGATGACCTTGAGTGACCTGTGGGGCCGTGCTACCGATTCGAATACGCCCGACTTTCAACGCCTCGATACCCGGTTTACCGAAACGCCTGGTGATTACGATCTGTTTGATGAAATCCCCGACGATGCTCCGCCTGCCCTCGATGAAGGTGTGTGTGAAGGCCGCGATTGTCCTGATCCCGATGAAGAACCTGATATATTGCCGGCACCTGAAGACCCTGAGCCAGTACCGCCTCCAGACTCCGAGCCGGAAGGATCGAACCGAACCCTCCTCCTCAGTTACTGGAGACCGATCCCAAGCTTCCTCCCCCAGAGGAAGGACCCGAGGACTTACCTGAACTTCAGTCTGAGGACGAAGAAGAACCCGCACCGGAAGAACCTGCACGAGCACCTAAACGTCCCGGTGTACCCGAGACTCCCCCCGATACCCCCGCTAAACAGCCCAAGTTACCCGGTGGTGGAGTTGGATCGCACGTTTTGCCCGGCCCTATGACGACTACCCCGACCGAAGCGGATAGACAAGGTGGCGTTTCTGAGAACGCTATACATCACGACAAATGTGATAGCTTGGAAGGTGTTCCTGGACGTCATAGCTACTCCAAGACTTTTACGCACTATATTGAAGTATCTCAAAACGAGGGAATCAAACTCGAGGGCTCAAAATGGCTGCTCAACCATGGCATGACGAGTATACCGTACCATTACATCAGGGCCTCTATGACTCCCCACGATTTTGGTCTACTCAACATGATGTATGGGGCGTGGAGGATCCACAAACAAGGTTTTCGCATGGGCGATTTCGTGCCTTTGATAGACGAAGCAGCCACCGTAGGGGGCGTCGTCACTTTAAAGACCAATTTCCTCACCCATCTCAACCACTACGAGGTGTTCAAGGACGGCGAGGATTACTTCGGCGCCAACCACCGCGCCGTGCCGTCCGACGACCAGCAGCCCAACCTGAACTTCCAGGCGAGCGAGCTCCTGCAGAGGCAGTCGATGAAACTACCGATAGTAAAAAAGGACGTTACGAGCTATGTCCAGAATTACATGCACGAGCATACGACCCGGTCTCTGGATGCTACGACTCTGACGGCGATGGAGAGGTGGGCGTTGGTGAATTTGCGCCGTGGGAACCAGAAGTATTGGAACCAGAGCGTTGGCCAGCCCCTCGTCCACACGTGGACCAACACCAACCCTGGGTTCTGGCCGACTCAGATCCCGAAGAGTTTTTTGGACCGCGAGAGAGCCCTTAAAAGCGTGAACATTGACGAGGTGTCTCACAGAACCTTCACGAACCTCGACCCGTACGGTAATCACTCCGAGTTCCTGCCCAACTACAAGCTACATACACGATGGATCCCGGGGCGCGCCCACGCGCCGATGCTGTATGTGAAACCGACGGACTCGGCCAAGGAGACACTGAATCTACAAATCTATGGGGGCAAGAATATGCAGACCTTGACTGGACCCGAGATGAAGGGTTCTCCCGAAGTGTTGGTAAAACTGCCCGTGTACCTGGACGCCAACGACAATCCCATCCCGCTGGTGTGCAAGGTGCAAGTAACGTACTTTTGCGAGATCGATACCGTGCCCCACGGAACGAACATGGGCAACTGGATGGCACCCCAATTTGGGTTCAAGCGAACCGCCGATCCGACCAGCAGAAGCGCACCAAGGCCGATGACGGGTACGGTTCCGACGGCGGAGGAGCAGTTAGGCGGCCAGAACGTATACAGGACAGGGGAGCTGGGAGCTTTCAGTCGGGGGGAGAAGCATCGTTCCCCCCGGATGTCACACCGAACTTCATGTGGTAGAGGATGACGTGGTCCCGGACGGCGGAGCGGGAGAGTTTGACTATTTATCTCGTATGCTAGACAGTTTAATGCTTGATCTCTCGCGTTGCCAAGGCGACGCCGCTGGTTTAAAGTCTAAAGTGTTGCGCCTGTTAGAGAAGCATGGCGGGCAGGAAGAGGTGTTGTCCTCGTAAGGCTATATTTAGAATGGGACCAACACGGCTTAATTTTATCTGTGTATTAGCCGCGTTGGTTTGCCAACTCGTCCCCCATTGCCCGTGTACATATGGTACGACCAACGCGGTTAGTTTTACATTCTCAAGCGCGTTGGCACGTTGGTTTTGTTGTTATATTTATTGGTTCAGTGTTGGTGTTCTTTGACAATGTTGTGGATCGAATAGTTAATAAAAAAAGTTTGGTCTGGTACCCAGACGTCTCTGTGTGTTGTGTCTATGACTTTGTATGAGAGTCTCTTCAGATGCAGTGGGCGTTGGAGCGGTGGACCCCCCGCGTTGGACACAACACGTTGATCTTATTGAAAAAGTTGAATTGTATACATTTGGTGGTTGTTGTATGTACAGTAAAACTGCACCAAAAAAAAAAAAAAAAAACCTACATAATGCACGTATAACATGCAAACATACCAAAAAAAACGCCTTATTGCCATTCCCCACCTCATCCAACTCATCCCCCTTATCAAACTCGCCATCGACCTCATATGCATTCAACTCGCCATCGACCTCGTCCCCATCAGCCATCTCATCCCCCTCCGCATCCACCTCAGATTCCTCCTCCTCGAAATCCATTTCATCCGCCTCGGCTGCCACCTCAAGATCATCCTCAGAATCCATCTCATCTGCCTCGGCTGCCACCTCGTCATCGTCATCACTTGACATCTGTTTATTTGAAATTGAAAAAAGACATTATCAATTGGCACAAGGCAAAGGTATTTTAAGTTCATAAATCAAGTGATTGCATATGGTGGAAAAAAGTATCATGGTTACACACCTAGGTTCCGACACACCTATGTTCCGATTGCTCATATTCCTATCCCTAACCCTAACCCCAACCCTAACCGAGGTTGTCGAACATAGGGGTGTCGGAACATAGTCTAGGGGCTAGACACTGTTCTTGTTTGCTACGCCGATAACTCGCCATGCGATAACCAGCCACCGTGAGAGGGCGCTATCACGACCAACCAATATCACCCACGAACCTGTCAGAA